TTCCTCCTACACTGAGCATCTCCCAGGATGTAAATTACTGTTTTATCTTTCCTCTCAGTATCAAAGTCCCTGGCCACTTCTGGTCCAGGCTGGCTGAGTTACGCCTTCTTCCATCACCTCCATCGCATACAGTTTCACAGCCACCTGACCTTCTGGCTTTTCCTCCTTTCCTTCATTCGTTCATTCCTTCCTTCCTCCCTTCCTTTCTGTTTGCTTTTTGAAACAGGGTATTGCTCTGAAACAAAGACACCCCTTCATCCTGTTTCAGTCTCGGAATCAGGGTGGTTGCAGATGTGAGTCAACAGGTCTGCTGACTTTCTCGCTGTTTCTTCAACAGTCTTCAACAGTGTGGCACAGAGCTGTGTACTTGCTCTTCCTTCTGTCTGGAACATCTTCTGTGGATGCAGCAAATGTTACTGCTCAAATGTCGCCTCATCAGAGATGCCCTTTTTAGAGTCACTGTCGAAGCCCAGCCGTCAGCCCCAATTCTCTTGCCCAGCTTTAATTTCTTCACTGCACTTACATTATTAAATATGAGGACATAAATCTAGTTGATTTTCTATTTACATTTTAACAGACACTTAAAACTGTACATCATAATAGAAGACCACATGATGTTTCAATGCAATAATAAGGGCATATCTACTTCATCAATTTTCATTTCAAAAATCCTCGCTTTTTTGATAGACCATCTGTGGCTGTTATTGCTAGTCACACTGTGCAGTTATCTATATTGACATAAAGGACGGGGTTTTGGCTTTGGAGCTGAATAATATTCCACTGTGTATATGTAAAACATTTTCTTAACCATATGTATGATTTCTGTTATCAAGAACATTCGTCAGCTGATGGACACACAGGTTGCTTCCACGCCTTTGTTATTAGGACGTGTGCTGTGATCAGCGCACAAGTGTATGTGTGACTTTAGCTTGTGTCAAGCTGACATAAAACTATCCAGGACAGTGACAGTTCACAAAAGGCGGGAAACCTGGAGCACAGTGCACAGCCTGCAGGCAGCTCAACAAGTCGGAGAGTATCCTGTCCACGTGACTATCCGGCCTAAACCTCTCCCAGGCAGGGGCTCTGGCCTGAATCTCCTTTGCAACTCAGCTTCCTTCCAAGTCAGTAACTCTTGACTTTTATTGTGTACTCTGACAGGGAAGGCCCTTGTGAATCTGGTCAGTTTCAGGGACTTCCGAGCGCTATTTTGAGTAGTTTCCCTTCCTATTTAAAGGGCAAGAACTTCCACACAGGATGGAGTATGTCAATCTCAGAGGAAACTGTTACACACCTGGCCTGTATTTTGTTTTAAAAGACATCTCCCACAAAATTCTTCTCTGTGACTTTGGTTTTTGTTTTTTTGCTTGTTTTGTTGAGACAACGCCTCCTGTCTCTTGAAGTAAAACCCCAGCCCACTTCAAGCTTGCTATGTATCCAAGCTGGCCTTAAATTTGAGATTCTCTTGCCTCTTCCTCTCAAATGCTGGAATTGCAGGCATGATTCAGTAGTCTCAGCTCCCCTGAACCTCCTAAAAGTACAGATTCACAAATCCCCCCACCAGGGACTCTGGTACAATGGTGGGTTGGTGTGAGGACAGGACTATCCCTGAAGGCAGGTAGCAATCAGGCACATTGATTTGAACAAGCTTTGACCTTTGGCAGGGACCAGGCAGGATCCTACAGAGATCATGGTGGGACTGAGCTAGACGAAGCACTTGGGTACTCTGGAAGGGTTTGTATTGAACCTAGGGAGCTGAGGAGAGCAGCAGTGGTGCTGAGGTTCAGGGAAAAGCTTAGGATGGAGACCCAGGAGACTGAATGTCCAGAACTAAATCCTCATGATTAGTACTCGACAGGCGCACCTGTGAGGCTGTGCCCACTGCTGGCTCTTCTCTGTCTAACAGGAACTAACAGCAGATGGAATGAACAAATACCGACTAGTCTAAACTTAAAAACCCTCTAGGACTTGGCTGAGAGTTGGCACTAGGCTGGAAGGGACCTTAACTTACTCCAGCCTTAATACTTCCATCTGGGAAAGAGGAACCCTGGCTCAAACAATTCTGTGTGTCCTTGCTTTCCCAGCGGGCTTCTGCAATTATACATTGGTTCTGAGAGAGAGTCCAAGATCCCTCGCAGGGTCAAGACTCAGACAGCTATGGGGAGGGCAGCACATGCTTTTGACCCCAGGCTCATGCTCCACTTCCAGAGCCTGGGAGGCCCCACTGCACAGACCGGGTGTCAGGAGACGAGCTGCAGGGTCTTGCAGTTCAGTGCAGAGAAGGGCCCACTACAGGTTATTGGTCCATTTGGTCCAACTTTTAATTTAAAAGTTTCCAGCCGGGCGTGATGACTCACACCTTTAATCCCAGCACTCACTCCGGAGGCAGAGGCAGGCGGAGCTCTTGCGTTCAAGGTCAACCTAGTCTACCAAGCAAGTTCTAGGACAGCCAGAGCTATCTGGAGAAACCCTGCCTTGAAAAACAACCGAAAATAAATAAATAAACAAACAAGGAAACAAATAAATAGTAGATGAAAGCAAGCTTCCATGAGCTTGATGACCCAGAATGGTCTTAGATGACTTCCCAGAGGTGTGTGGGAGGAAGGCCTGGAGTGGATCTGGAGAAGGATGCTGAGTATCTGGGAGACTGACGGAGCGTGTGCAAAGGTTCTGCAGGGAAATGGAGCAAGAGACGTCCTTCCAGCTGAGAGGAGGCCATGCAGCCTGAGGCACAGATGGCAAGGAAGAGGATTACCACGTCCTGCAGACAGGGAAACGCTAGTCAAGCTGCCGAGACAGACATTCACGCATTGCTCCACAGAAAGGGCAGCCATGAAAGAGTTTGAGCGAGGCTGTGAGACAAATGGGCTTTTTTTTTCTTTTTTTTTCTTTTTTTTTTTTTTTTGAGACAACTTCTCTGTGTATCCTTGGCTGTTCTGGAACTCACTGTGTAGACCAAACTATACTCAGAGATAGACCTGCCTCTGCCTCCTGAGATCTGGGCTTAAAGGCGTGTGTCACCACCACCTGGCAGATGAGCATTTTGAAAAAAATGAATCACTTCAACTATGTTTTTGGTTGTTTGTTGTCGCTGTATTGTTTTGTTTTCTTTTTGTTTTTTGGTTTTTTTTTTTTGAGACAGGATTTCTCTTTGAAGCTTTGACTGTCCTGGAACTTGTTTTGTAAACTAGGCTGGCCTTGAACTCACGGAGATCTGCCTGTCTCTGCCTCCCAAGTTCTGGGATTAAAGGCATGCTCTGCCACCACCCTGCTTCGGCTATGTTTTAGAAAAAAAGTTGCTTTCTACCTGCCCAATCACCATCTTCAATGCTACCATCATTCCTTGCCACATCTATAGCCCTGAGTCCCTGTCACCTCTTCTCTTCACACATATTGCTGCAGAAACCTCTATAATATAATATTGCCCATCCAGCCTTTCCCATATCAGCCAAAGCATTCTCAGAATATAAGACAGGAAAAACAAAATAAAAAAGGCTAGGCATAGTGGCATATACCTTTAGCCTTAGCAGTTGGAAGGCAAAAGAAATTCGAGACCAGCCTGGTATACAAAGCAAGTTCTAGGAGAACCAAAGCTACAAAGAGAAACCCTGTCTTTAATAATAATAATAATAATATAAATACATACAACAGGCTAGTTTTAAGAGTGTATGCCTATAACCATATCATTCAGAACGTAGAAAACAGCCTGGACTACATAGTGAGTCCCTGTCTCTGTAATAAATAAGATGTATAAATGTATGCTTTATGCATAGAAAAAGGTAGATTTTCTTTTTCATCTGTGTTTCTCTGCCTCTGAGAATAAAGCTGTCACTCCTGACCCTGAGCTTCTGGACCCTGGGCCCTCTGAGCCTGCTTCCTTTCTTGCCTCATTCTGCCCTAAACACTCTGATGTACTATCGCTGAAGGATGCTCTATCCCTTCCTAACACAGCCGCTGCCCGTGTCCACACTGACCCCCTCCCGTGCAGACTCTACTCCTGGGTAACCCTTTTGGGGCTAGTGGTAGCATCCCCAGCTTTCCGCTCCCTGACCACCCACTGGATCTAATTTCTGGTCTGGTCCCTGGATCCCCACTCCCTCTCTTGTCTGTGTGTGAAGCATCCATCCCTGTATTTAGTACCTGCAGCCCCCAGTGACTATCAACCCCCGCATCGCCCTTGCCCAATGAGGCCACTCCGAAGGAGTTTCTATCGTTGGTCCATTTTCACCAACTATGGTGATAGAAAGTAACTTGTATATAGTTCCCCGTCTTTAGAACTGGGTCTGAACCCCAGTTCCATAGTTATACAACCTGAACCTAAAGTTTGCAGGGCAGACTGATTCTGTCTCTATCTCTGTCTGACTATCTCTCTCTCTCTCTTTTTCTATCCAGAGCTGAAACTCATGAACCTCACACCTGCGAGGCAAGCACTCCACCAGTGAGCTACGTTCCAGCCCTTTCTAAACGTCGCTTTGAGACAAGGGTCACTATGTCCACACTACCCTCCAGCTTGCAGCCGACCTCCTGAGTCTGCAGAATTACAGACATACACAGGCAGACCGAGCTTCATGTCGTTCCACATCTGGGCAACCCTGAGACCAGACTTGTTCTCAGCCCCCTCACTCCCTTCACCGCCTCATTCCTTCTCATCGCTGTACCACGCCTAACCGCGACCACATAAGGACACTTCAGGCGGGCATCCTCCCAAGCCTCTGTCTGTCTTCTCTTCCTTCCTGCCTACCCTACCTTCTGTGTCCACTGCTGTCTCTTCTCACAGCCTGCCTCACTCAGTGCTAACACACAGATATCCGGAGCAGCCCCTCAGATGGTCTCCTTGTTCCCTTGCCTCTTGTTGCAGCCCGCTCCACCTCGCCCAGTGCTAACACACGGATACCTGGAGCAGCCCCTCGGATGCTAACACACAGATGATACCCAGAGCAGCGCCTCAGATGGTCTCCTTGTTCCCTTGCTTCCTTCCTCCTTCCAATGCCAGGAAGATCTCCCCAGCTTACAGGTGCAGCATCTCACTCTCACTTGTCTAGACGCCTCCTACACCTCCCCACGGCATCTACAAGAACAACAAAAAGGTGCACGTTAGAACATGACTGCTAGCTACTTTGGGATGCACAGGTCTCTATTAGAGACCCATATCTGGACCTCACGTGCCCCAATCCCAGGAGTTAGGTATGATCTCTTGCCAATGATGTTCTGTCCACATACCACTTAGTCTAGAAATGAGGCAATCTGGACAGTAGGCCTTGTTTATACACTCCCAACCTAATATGCTCCTTTGTAGCCTTCATACATGCTCCTCTTCCTCATAGCTCTCCTCCCTAGATGTATCGTATGGCCTCCACTTAGCCTTGTCCAGTTCCTGGGAGGTCCTCGTAGGCCATCCGACTTGAAGTTAGAGCCCTAGTGCCTACAACCTTCAATCTACTCTAGCCACATACAGCAAACTAAAGTTCTTCTTCATCTGTTAATATATACAGTGCCTGTCCGTGTGTCACCATATACACTGACACCATAGTCCCAGGGCCGGACACATACAGTGTGTCTACATATGTGTCCCCATGTATACTGGTGCCACAATCCCAGGGCCATGGCAGGCTTGTCTGCCGTTGATCTTGCGAGGGCAGTGTCTGGTGTACAGAAGGCATTCAGGGAATGTTTACTGTTTACTGAAGGGAGAACAAAGATACGTCTCCCCTGAAGGCCGCTATCACTTTGCTCCCCAAAAGCTGCTCTAGAAGAACCTGGAAACAGCAGGGAAAGTAGGCTAATGGGACAAAACCCACGGGGCAAGCGTGTGGATCCCAGCAGAAGATTTTTGACCTTGTCATTTCTCTTTCCAATACTATCTGTAAAAAAAGAAAAATAGAGAGAGGGAGAGAGAGTTTCTAAAACTCCCCAGCAGCCCAGCAGTCACCTCTGAGAGGAGTCGTCATATGCCAAGATTTTTCCTGGAGCACATTTTTACAGCTGAGAGAGAGAGAGAGAGAGAGAGAGAGAGAGAGAGAGAGAGAAGCATGCTTGTGACGGAAACAATGAGCTTCATCTGTCCCCAAAGGGCCACTGTGGCCACAGGAGGAGGGGACAGTGACAGGCGAGCATTCTTATTAAAGGAGGAAGAGAACAGAGAGACTAGGACTGGGTGGATAGCCCAGGGGGCAGTGATTTGGGAGCGAGGATTTGGGCTTTCCATCCCAAACCAGTTCTTGGGGTTGTTTTCTTGCCAGATCGTTTTTACGACACTCGCGTTTCCCTAAGGATGGAAATGCGTGGTTGACTAAGAGAATGTGAGGGGCAGAGAGACTCAGATATTTTTATGTGGGTCTCCTTTACGAGCTGCTGAAAGGGTTGGTCTCATGTTGGAGATGGGGTGTAAATACTGCTATCTTGGTCCTCGTAATGCCTGGGAGAGTCTGGAAGCAGGCATTTTCCAAGAAAATGAAGTATTTTTGGCTGCAGCTGTGACGCTAGGAAAAGAATTCAAGTTAAACTTGGGAAACTAAAGCCTGGAACCAACTTCACACTGGTAACAGCTGACCGAGCCCGAGAAAACAGCTTCCTTGCTGTAAGCCTCAGTTTCCCCACTTAGAATGGAGAGGGTGATGTGAGCTCAGGGCTGTGGGTAATGACCACGTGCCTCCGTACTTTACTTCACTGAATAAGCCAGCAAAGAAAGCCTCATTGAAACCAGTGCCCAGATTCTAACTAGATGCAAACCATATAGGATAGATATGGAAAGCATTTTAGGAATATAATTCGAACTCGAAGCTACCAGTATCTTGTCCCGGGGCCCCGAGAATGATGCACTCCACCGGGCACCACAGCAACGAAGAGTTTGCTCCCACAGATTGTGACTCAGAGGGTTTTATTTTAATTAAATATAAAAGTAATGGAATGTTTGAGATCCAGAAAACAGGCTCGCAGACACCCCCAGTGGCTTTTCTGTCCTCAGAGTTTCTCTTCTGCCCGTGTGTGGCCTGCCTTTCTCCCTGGTAATGAGAAGCATATGAAAAATAGTAGGGGAACCCAGAGAGCGTGCAGGCTGCGTCCTCCCCGCTTCTGTCCTCTCCCCTTTTCCATTCTGTTTACACACATCCGAGGAATTCCCGTCTCCTTGACATTTCTTTCCTGTTGCAGCTGTTAAATCCAACTAGATATTATTCTTTGAAATTCTATTGCTTACTTGTTTGTTTACAGTATCATCCGCTGACTTCGAGCTCTCTGTTGCCCTCAGAGTGAAGAAGCCCTCTGCCTCAACCAGCCCAGCCAAGCAGCCAGAGACAACATCCCTGATGTCAGCGCAACCAGATTGACTCCGTCATGTGCCCACACAGCACAGGAGCCCGGCAGGCTGCACAGTGGCCTGGATTTGCATGGCGGAGCATCACCTAGGCAACCGAGAGCCAGCCTGAGACATGGAGCCGGGGATTCCCATCACCCTTTCTGCTCTAACAGTCAGCTGGTCTCGGAGAATGATTTCAGCGGATCGTTTTCAAAATGCCTTGCATTTAATAAGTGCCTACTGTGTGTCAAGAACAGCCAGGCTCCTGTTCTCAGTTGCTATGCGCACACTCCCAACAAGTCCTCCAAGTTAGTGCCAGTGCACTCTGAGCAGGAGAAAACAGGACCGGAACGGTCAGGTGACTTCCTCAGGGTTGCTTAGCCCACCATTTCAGTCTGACCCTGAAGTCCTTGGTAGTGATGTCCAGGTCAGAGCTGATGAACTGGCAGATGGAATCTGCTTCCTTCAGGAGGATTCTGCATCTGATTTGAGCTTGCACTGTCAATGGGTAATTAATTTTTATTTTACTACTCACCTTTGAATGCTAAATCTGAAAAGAGGAAGGGAGGAAGGAGCCTTTCTGCCTGATACCTGTAAGCGAGGATGGAGATGCAGCTGACTGCTGAAGACCCAGTGAGGGAGCCGAGTGTGATGGCTCCGTGCCCTTGATCCCAGTCCTCCGGAGGCAGAGGTTAGTGGATCTCTGTGAGTTCAGGGCCAGCATGGTCCACACAGTGAGTTCCAGGCCAGCCAGAGCTATACAATGAGAAGGGGAAGAAATCTTGGTAGCTGCATCTGAGGTGCTTACATTCTACTCTGTGCAGGGTCTCAAAGACGGATGGACCTATTGACAGGGCGGGTTTACCAGCCTCTAGTGAACCTAGCGGGCAGGTGGACCAACACTCAGGCTGTTGCCAATCTGTGGTCCTCTTCTGCAGCTGCCACAGGGAACCACCCCTTAGAGTAAGGTAGTCCCAAGACTTCCCAGGATTTATGAAGGCACTGCAGGAGATAATGATGGGTCTGCTGTTCATTTCTAGAGTTTGGGGAGAAAGATAGAGACAAAAAGAAACAAAGGGACAGAGGAAAAGATTAAGGGCAAACAGGGAGAAAAGTTCTCGGGTGGTGGCTCACACCCAACCACCTGTAACTCCAGCTTCAGGGGGCCTGACACCAGTCATGTGCATATATGCAGGCAAGACATTATACACATGAAATAAATACATCTCTTAAGAAAGGCTCTAAGATTTGCCCTGTGTGGTGGTGTGGCAGCATGCCTGTCCTGACTGACAGTCTAGTCATCTAGGTCCTGAGCAAGAGAGAGCCCACTCTCTGATTGAAGCAGCCTGCTACCTGGGCACAGGGCTCCAGGCACTAAGGCTGTTGAGACAGAACGCCAGGAGAAGTATGGGGTTGGGGGCACTCAGGGACATGAGAAACAGATACACAGGACATGAAGATAGGGCACACTCTATTTCCATGACCTGGCTGGCAGTAGGGATTCCTCTGTCCTCAGGGGGGACTGGTTTCTTTTTGTGGAGTGTGTGTGTGTGTGTGTGTGTGTGTGTGTGTGTGAGAGAGAGAGAGAGAGAGAGAGAGAGAGAGAGAGAGACAACTCAAGTCAGAACTCACAGCAACTGTCGGGTCTCTGCTTTCCGAGTCCTGGGACTATAGGAAGCAGCCAGCCCGGTATTCTTCTCCATTTCTTTCTGACCCACTTCTCTCCCCTCTTTCCTGTCCCAGCGTTTTTCTCTGACTTCTTCGGCAACCACAGATGCCTCCTCACTAATGTGGGTTGTTTCCAGTGTATCCCATAATGCCTCCCACCAGAGGAGTATAATGAGGAACCCTACTGATAACCGCTGGCTCAAAAATCACCCTTGGCAGAAATGATAATGGAGCAATAGGGCAAGAGTTGGGGCTGAGCTCAGTGGCAGAGCACTGGCCTGGTGTGTGGAGGGATGATCTCCAGGCTGGCAGAGCCTGGGGAGAGCTGGAGGCTATGGTGGGAACGTGCAAAGGAATAGGGTTTTAAAAAATGACAGAGCAAGGCCTACTCTGGTTACACACACACACACACACACACACACACACACACACACACACACAATGGGCTCCCAGCAACCTCAACTCCAGAATAGAAATATACACACCTATAGTCATCCAAGTGCAAAGGTAACATACAAAAAGTTTTCTAAAAAATATTGACCCTAGCAAAAAAAAAAAGAAAGAAAGAAAAAAAAAGATAAATAAAGTTCAACGATGGGGGAAAGGTTAAATGATTTTGTTATATCCTTAACACAGACTAGAGAAAGAATGGATTAGGTTTACATCAACAAAATTGATATCAGCTGGGCAGTGATGGTGAATGCCTTTAATCCCAGCACTTGGGAGACAAAGGCAGATGGAGCTCTGAGTTTGAGGCCAACCTGGTCTACAGAGTGAGTTCCAGGACAGCCAGGGCTACACAGAGAAACCCTGTCATGAAAAACCAAAAAATAAAAAAAAAAAGAAAAGAGAGAAAAGAAAAAGGAAAGAAGGAAGGAAGGAAGGAAGGAAGGAAGGAAGGAAGAAAGAAAGAAAGAAAGAAAGAAAGAAAGAAAGAAAGAAAGAAAGAAAGAAAGAAAGAAATTGATCAGCTATCTGGGCCATGGAGTAAAGAAAAGCAGATGGCACAGATGTGCACACAGAGGCATCACGAGTTCTCACCTTTCATGTTCACACCTGCAGCTTTGTCTGCTGGGCAGAGGTAGAAGAGAACACGCAGGGGAGTGTTCACACTGGTTATCCTGGAGGGCAGAATGGGAGGACGGGAGACTTGACTGCTTGCACAGTTCTGGTTTTCCTGGTTAGCATACACAAATGCCTATTAGTTTTGAAATTCTAAAAGAAATTTGACAGAACATGGTGGAAAAAAAGAAAAAAGGAAAGGGGAGGGGAGAAAAGTGGGGGGGTGTCCTTTACTCTCTTTGTATCTCTCAAAGGCCTACTGGGTTGCTTCCAACACACCCTTTCACCTGTATACACCTATTTTGTCCATATTCTCTCCTCTTAAAAGATTTTTAAAATTGAATTGAATATTGTTTCTGTGTCTGGTTTTTGCCTGCATGAATGTCTGTGAACCATGTCCATGTGGTGCCTGGGGAGGCCAGGACAGGTTGTTGGGTCTGGTGGAACTGAAGTCACAGATAGGTGTGAGCTTCAGAGCGCAAGGAACTGAGCAGGTCAACTGCAAGAGCAGCCGCTGTGTGACTTCATCACTCCCGCCATACTCTCTGAATAGTCAGGCGCGCAGACCTGTCCCTTCATTGCTTGCCCATGTACAGAGCCTTCCCTCTGGGTCAGGAGACCCTCCCTTCTCAATCTGACCATCTTCCAAAGCTCAGCCTGAAAAGGCCACCTCTTCAAAGCAGGCTTCCCGCCTCTCAAGGGTGAATAGGCAGGTGCTCCTTTGGGTTCCCACACACCCTGAACCTTCTAGGACAGCGTTCTTTGTATCCCAGGGGGCTCTTGCATTCTCCTGGGATGGGCAGATAGCACCTGCACGTTCCGTCATTCCAGACTAGGGCCGCCCACCTCAGAAGGATGCAGAGAAGCCAGAATTTTAGATTCCTGTGGAAAGCATTCCAAATTTTTAACATTTGGCAACTTATTGAGATGGTATGTGTTGTTTTCAGAATGGTTCTAACTGGGAGAAAAGAATTCCTCAGATGGAATTCGTACTTTTGACATCATTTATGGAATCCGGGCACTTGACATATCTGGATTTCCACTGGAGGGGAGGTTCATATACAATTGTTTGCTTTTTTTGTATAGTACTGAGTATTGAACCTGGAACCTCATATATGCTATGTGCATGCTCCATTACTAAGCTGCACCCTCCAACAGTGACAGATTCTCAAGGGCAGGGGTCATCTGGGTGGTGACCATAATCTAGGCTTTGCCAATATAGCAGGCAGCCACCTGAGGAAAGGAAGGAGGAGGGCAGGTGGTGAATTTGAGGCCAGCCTGGGATTGACAAGACAGTGTCTCAAACAAATAAAACAGCGGCTGGACAAGCCAGGGGGGGAAATAAGCAGAAAGAAAAAAAATAGCCCATCAGTCAATGCCTTGCATGACTTATGAAAAGAAGAAAGTTTGGAAACATCTTCCTGCCTTGCTTCTATCACACATCTTAGTTTTGCCTGCAGTCTGGAGGGTCCATTACGATTCCCTCTGCTGGGAAAGTGGTAATCAACACAGCTATTCATTGAAAGTGAGCTGGTTAAATGGAGAGAAACAATGTGACTTTTAACCAGAATTCCACTTTCAAAGACTCCTTCTCCTCTTTTGCAATTCCTCCTTTGAAAGTAGCAAGCTTTGAGATAACTGGATCTAAGGAAAACTAGACCAGAGTCTTGACCAACTCCTCCACCATTGTTTACCAAGATGCTAACAATTCCATATATCCAATCAGATGCACACCCTCCCTCATCTGCCGCAGTGATCATTAATAATGACGACAACAATCTACAATGGCACCCTCTATCATCTCCATCACAAAGTCTCCCCGTAAACCTGGGAGGTAAGAATAATCACCACATTTTACAGATAAGGGATCCAAAGTTCTGAGACAGGACATAACTTGCCCAGGGCCATCCCAGGGTAGAGAGGCAGGACGGGATTCCAACCAGACCTGCCGTTTTCCAATGCCGTAAATCAATATCACCACATTTCAGGCATCGGCACAACTGTTCTCTTGTCTCAAGACAATCATTTGTTGACCTTATCCCAGGACCCGTGGGGCTATTTAATTAATGTTTATCTTTCAATAAATTAGAATCTTAAGACCAAAAACAAACGCATGAGGCGGAAGGCAGGCCATAGGATTGCTCTGAAAGGAAGGCGAGTGGAAGGAGGGATGGATTCTGCAGCCACATTCTGTGCCCTTCTGGATGTGGAAGCCAAGGGTTCAGTCACTGTGGAGGTGATGTTTTGGTCTCCTAAACTCAGAGGAGGGGATGAGGACCATTGCCTTTGGGGTGCCTTTGTTGCCACCGCTGCCCTGTGACTTGGTCTGGGGAAGACTTGTGTGGCAGCTTCAGCAAAGCTTTCTTGTGCTGCCCAAACCGGGAACTTTGAGCAAGCGTGACTTTCATAAGCCTCTTACCATTGTCCACACCAACAGTGCTGGTTCTAATTGCATCGCGATGATGGACCGAGCGTGTTTCCCTCCGGGTCACTCATCTGCTGACTCACGCGCGAGCCCGGCAACGGGCAAGGAGGGAGGATTAATTGCGCTCCTTAGATTTTATATCCACAATCCCATTTAATCCTTCTGAAAGAGGGATTATTAGCCCTCAGTTTCTGATTGGGAGAATGAGGCTCGGCTCAGAGAAGTGGGTGGACTTGTTGAAGACTCATGGTGGCCATAGGATAGAACTGAAGCTTCAGCCTACCCAGACCAACCGTTGGGTGCTCCGTGCAGCTTCTCCCCCCCTCCCCACCCCCCCCCCACCCCCCCACGCGGCCACCCCCGTCTTGGAAACCTTTATCAGCCATCTTTCAGACACAGCGTTCACGGAGGTGGATTTTCTCCCCCACTTCCTCTCCTCCTTCTCTTCTCTACCCCAGAAGCTTAGGCACAACACTCCTCGCTACCAAACCTGGCTTGACCAGTGACAGGGATGGGGGATCCAGCGAGGAGAATGACTGGTTCCAAGTCACCTAGCCAGTGAGTGGCACACAGGAGTCCAGACCCTACTTCTGGATCTAGAGCCTCTGTCTAAACTCACTTGACTAAAACTGCGAACGATGACAAAGCAGTAAAGGGAAAATGTGCCACTTCGATTAAGTTACAATACACAGAAGATATTAAATCTGTGAGTTATGTTATCATTATCAGGAAGGCTTAACTATAGTTCAAGCTTGGGGAACTCATTGAGCCCTGAATCATTAAAATATCTTTTGTGTAGATTCCACCCACTCTGGTCTCCTATTTAAACTGTGGTGAGTCTTCTTTTCTATGTGAGGAAGGTCAGGGAAAGATGGAGAGAGAACAGACACCTAAACAAACACAATTAAAAAAAGAGAAATTACAAGTATCTAGGGTTTCCTGTGAGCAAAATGAAGACACTATTAGCAACGCCCTAACAGGGCTGTTGTGAGGTTTAGTGACTTGGTCTGGACCACATGCTTCCGTCAGTGCCTGGCCACAAGGTAAATGCTTAGGAAGCAGCAGGGGAAGCAGACCCTGGTGATGTCAGGTGTCATTCTCTAAATACATTGGGGTATTTTAACTTACAGAAACACAGGCTGGAGAGAGAGCCCAGCAAAGCAGAGGCTCATACCACCAAGCCTGACAACTGGAGCTCAAGCCCAGGAACAGATATGGTGGAAGGAATAATACATGATAAACGCAGGTGTACTCTGCACTCACACACATACAAAATAAGTAATAAATAAGTAATAAATGAAAAGGCAGTGGATGAGGAATGATGATGTAATACAAGTGCAGATGTCTGGGGTCTTGTGGAGTGCCCAGTTTCTCATCTTTCATTTACCCAGATTTTTGGGAAAGGTTCCAAACACATCTGTCATTCGCCATGACACACATGCATAAACATATACACACAATAGATAGATAGATAGATTAGATAGATAGATAGATAGATAGATAGATAGATAGATAGATCAATAGATCAATCAATCTGTGGTTGGGTAGATAGATATATCTGTGGGTGGATAATAAATAGATACACAATAGATGGGTAGGTGGGTGGGTAGGTAGGTAGTGAGATAGATAGATAGATAGATAGATAGATAGATAGATAGATAGATAGATAGATAGGCAGACAGGCAGGCAGGCAAGGAAGCAAGCGGATGGAAAAACTGACAGACAGATAGATAAATTAATGAGAGAGAGATGCAAAAAGAATTATAAAAACATAGTTTCCTCTAGAAAATATGGAAACCCAGCAAGACCAGGACATTGCTAATGTGGGGACAGAAGACATGCTGTGTGCAAACCCAGAGAGAGAGAAGCTAGTCCCCTTCTGAGGTCAAGTGCCAGCTGGGTCACTTAGTTGCTGCTTCAACCTTGAGCAGGTGACAAACTCTGCAGCTATAAAATGAGTAGCTCCTTCCTGGGGGCTATGGTGATTGATAATTAACAATCTAGAGACCTTGTGGATCCAACATGGACTGATTGCTTCCTGACTGGCATCATCTGCAATTGTTGAAACACAGAGAGACCCCTCAGTATTCCACTGAGTGGAATTCAGTGATTCACACTGAAGTGAGGGCAAAGATTTCCTCCATGGGGCAGGCTCAGTCACCACCTTGACTTGATGATCCAATCAATGTTTATTCATTACACTGTGCTTGGGACTCTTCTGGGCACACTGGGCACAGTGCTGGCTTCCTTCCTCATGACAAGTCAGTCCTGCCTGCCCTCTAATCGGGTCACCTTGTATTCAGGTCCAGAGAAGGTCCCCAAAGAAGGGAGACACAAGACAACTTCAGGTCCCACTTCCTTCCATGACCTCAGGAAAAGTGGAACTGAATTGGGGGGGGGGGCTGCAGTTGCCTCCAGGGGGCAGACAGAGTGAGGAAGGAAGGAGGTTAGGGATGAGATACCCTTGCCTTGGTGTGACTGGGAGGCAAGGGAAGTCTTGACTGGGAAAGAGCTCTGCCACGCTAAAGCATCTCACTATATGATGCAAAGTTCAAGGTGTGTAGTTTCCACGGATGGAACCCAGAGTCTTCTCTGCTGCTGAGATGCACCCCATCCTATCAGAGAGCCTAGGGGAGTCTTTCTACCCAAAGATACCTGAAGGCTAGCATGTCTGAGCCCAGCTCCATATGCCAGCCCCTTCATCTACAAATAACTAACAACATTCAGAATAACTACTTCCAACCTCCTTCATTCTCAGAATAGAACAAGGGATATGAGGTAGAGCAACTAGAATAGAATTTTTTTTTAAAAAAAAAAATTTAAGTAGGAGTCAGGCAGTGGTGGTAAACGCCTTTAATCCCAGCACTTGAGAGACAGAGGCAGGCGGATCTCTGTGAGTGAGTTCAAGGCCAGCCTGGTCTACAAGAGCTAGTTCCAGGAAAGGCTCCAAAGCTACAGAGAAACCCTATCTCGAAAAACAAAACAAAAAAAAAACAAATTAAAAAATTAAGTAGGGTCTTGCTGGGACACTTAAACTAGCCGAGAACTCAAGGAAATTCTCCTGCTTCAGCCTTCTGAGTGCTAGGGTTACAGATGCAGGTCACCATAATGTTTCATCATTCTATTTTACTTAATTAAAAAGTGTAATTGTGATCATTAGAAAGTTCCCTAAACATCTTTTCCCTTCTCTTGTTCTGATTCCAAAGAATGCAGACACAACTGAAGAAAATGTTTGAGATTCCTATTAAGTCACCGGTAATCCACAAATCAGGGTTCCCTTTTCGTTATTTAAGCCCTTCTCAGACTTAACAGCCTATCTATTAAGCTGGGGGGTGGAAATCATAAATACTTCAATGCTACAAGCCATTCCAGTTGCATCCTCCTCTGCCTGTGCAGCAAGGCTGCCTTGGAACTGAGATACATAAATTTTAGAATCAGCCAAACCCTGACTGACACCTCCACCACTAGTTGTGAGGAAAAAAAAATTCGAATGAAGCTTTAGCCTTCTCCTTCATGAGGAGGAACAAGGGCTCCCACACCACAGGGCTGTTTGAGAAACAAGAAAGGAGCTGACATTTACTGACCCAGCTAAAAAGCTTGTCTTGGGGACTGAGGTTGTAGCCCGATAAGGAAAGCAAATGCTGAAACACTACAAAGGCCATTCTGGTAGTTATTCTGGCCTAGAGGATGGGAACCAAAACTAGTGTGTGATGCGCTAAGTGCCATCCTCAATGGTCCAGCGGGTTTCCCATAGCTGCAATGACACAACGTTGTCCTAGAATTACCTTTCAGATGGTTTGTGGTTTGTTCCTATTTGTTTGTTTGTTTGTTTGCACCCCCTCCCCCGCAAAAAGATCTGAGCTGCAGTATTGCTCCTGTCCAATGCGGACAGAGACTGGAGAAGCTGTCAGGAAGTTGTGCCCAGGGGCTGGGAGACATGGTCTGCTGTTTCTAACCTCTTTTGCTTTCCTTTCATTCCTCTGTCTCCCTAGAGATAGGGGTGAGATCTCTGCAGAGACGGGTACCTACTACCAGGCTCCACAGTCTTGCATCTCTGCATGCGAGACCTCCAGCGCACATCACTGCTTACCAGGAGGAGCAGCAGGGAAGAGAGGGCAGCAGATAGGCACAGAGACTTGAGAGATAGCCGACGTCTGCGGAATGCTACCACACTACAAGTCACAGCCCTGGTGCTGCAAAGGTAAGGTGACTTGCACGGGTCTTACAGGGGTACATGACTCAACCCCTTTTAAAGCTAATAGCTCTTTGGGGGCAAAGCTGTACTCTGGGGTGTAGTTACTTCTCTCTCAGCAAGCCTGGAGGCTATGCACTAGAGGGCTCATTTGTCCTTTCTCCTTAGGCTTTTGGAGATGGGAGGGGGGTCTCACATAGCCCAAACTGGGCTTAAACTTGCAGCAATTCTCCTGTCTCACCTTCCCCCATTCTAGGATCCCAGGCATGTGTCATCACTCTGTTCTGTAAGAGGAAAGGGAGAAGGCAGTGGTGACAGATGGCGAGAAGGGGTTCTGCTAGCGAACAGGTCTACGAAGGCTCAGAACCAGGGCTCACTCCCTCTTGGCCACGGTCACATTTGAGCCAATGAGAAGTGAAGCCTCCAAGGACTGGCCATTCTCCCTCCAGGCTCCAGGCCCGGGAGAGGTGCAGTTTTTTTTGTCCACGAACCCTTGTCCTGGGCTTCTTCCAGGGGTACAGGGTGGGACTGATTTCTCAAGTCCCTCTCTTTCCTGTCTTTCTCAACTTCAACTGGTAGGAAGTCAACAAAACACCTCTTCTGAAGCCTTCGGTAATCTAGGTAGGGCTGTAGTCAAAGCCCTTCCCCTGCAGCCCTTTGTTAAGCATCGTAAGTCTGTGAACGAGGGCTAAAGAAGTACTGCTCCCACCCTGAATTTCCACTTCTATTTCCCTGCTGAGTCACTGTCAGGGGGGTTTGCTCCAGCTACCTGGGGATTTGTCTGCCCAGTTGGTGGTTTGATCTGCCCTCTCCCCTTCTTCCCGTCGCGCAGGTGAGGAAAGTGAGCTCCGAGAGGAGCCATCTTTTGCCCGAAGTCACACAGCGAATGTCCGCGGAGTGGAGGGCAGTGGTGGAATTCCTGGCGGCCCTTGGCGCCCATTTGTCTGCCCGCTTCTGATACCCGGGTTCGGAGAATAGGCCTCTAACAAGCGGCCCATTAGAAGGAATTGTCACTCCTCCGGGAGTGAGGTTGTCCCATTAGGGCGAATTGTCATTCCTCCTGGAGCGAGGTTGTCCTGGCTC